TTTATTAAATTATATAATGCATAATACAAAGTGATGTGGAATCCATTATTCCCTGTACTTCTCAGTCCTTCCCTCTCCTCCATAAAAATTGAATGACCAATGTCATATTTCAAGTAATCTGTAGTATTACCGATTTTCTAATAAATAATATTATTCTTTTATAATTGCTTATAAGTAATGATTAAATAATAAAATAGAATTTGATAAGCTTATAAAGACCCAATTTTCTCTCCTACACCAAATTTGAGACGTCATGATTTGAGTGGTTTGAAATTTGAGTATTGTGATTTGAGTTGTTTGAAGTTGCAATTCAAACGAATAAACCATGTCATGAGTATGGTGTGCACAAACAAAGAGTCGTGAATTGATTGATTATGAACTCAAAGTTTTGTGTGCATGAATTAAATATCGTGAATTAATTTATTACAAATTCCAAGTGTCATGATTTAAGTGTATATATTATGATTTTTTCTCTTAATCGAGAAATTGTAGTCAACCTTTGCCGCACCTTTCTCAACATTGAGATTTTTTACAATTTTCACTTATGAGCTTTTTTGCGAGCCCTTTCTCTTTGGAGAACATTTCAAAATTGAGCGAGCAAAAAAGAAATTGTTTTAACCTTGAAAAGTAACGTATGTTCTCCCATGTAGTCGATATTCTAGAAGCAAAGCTAGCCGGCGCCAATCACTCGCCACGTGTGCTATAGGTCTGTTCAAACTCTATTGATGATGTTTAAATTTGTAAAATTGTGCCACCAGTCCCTGATCTATTATTTGGTTAACAATTTGGTTCAGCTTTAAAAAAAATAACAAATTAATTCACTATCTTTTACTATTATTGCATCCATAATGATTTGGTATATTGCAAAATTACGTTTTGGTAATTAATAGTTTTCCTAGGGTGCGTTTTTTTTTTTTTACCACGTGTTTAAATTTAATACACATCGATGAACCTTAATTTGGACTTTTTCTCTCATACATAATCATTTTTTCATTAAGATAATATATTTATCTTGTTTTAAATTCACATGCACATTCTCACTTGTTTTTACAATAATGATGCTAATCTTAAAAGTAGTACCATGTCATACTAAACTTGCATAAGAGTAATTAAATATTCCAACTTAAAGCTTCACAAAAATCTTCGACTATTTGGAAGATAGTCAAGTCGAGCAATAGCCTAGCATTGGAACAATAGCTCAACAAGCTATGCTTCAAAGCCAGGGCAAGTTCACATTAATTTAGTTTCTCTATAACATATTTTAAGACAATTGAGTATATATTTTTAATGTGATGGCCATTGTTGAGCTCTTACCATCGGAAAAGACTATTGATCCTCGATAATTGAGGGAGAACTCAAACTCCTAATTTTTTCTTTTCCTTTCGTCTATAAATGAAATGGGCATATTGTGCTCGAAATTGGGTAATATTTTCGACATATCGTATATAAAATGGTCACTTTAATATAACAAAAAACTTTTCCTATTATCTATCTATCTTTCTCCTCTTAAAAGAGAGACTTTGGGATTATTGTTCATTTTTGTCACGTTCACACTTATCTCGTTCAAACTGGTTTTTCTACCATGGCCATATATCATTTCTCTCATTTACTGTTGACTGCCATTTCCATTCGTTCTCTCTCAAATCTACGTAAAACACCCCTAAATTTCCCACAAAATACCTACAAAATTATAATTCTTGGAAGACTTGCCAAGGGAAGTGAAAAGGCCCAGATAACACAATATTAAAACAAGATTCCACAAAAACTCAAACAATCAGAAAGTAAACTTGCATAAAATAAAGATTGAATACAAGATATTTATTTTGGCTTAAGACCCGAAGGTTTGACGACCATTTCTAATGCCTACATTCCCCGTTAAGCATCCAAATATTGGATATTCACTCGGTTACACTATATAACCCAAAAATGGCAACAAAATTTACATATCATTTCTTCCAACATGAGAGAGAAGTATAAGATACTTATTTTTTCAACAATAACTGCAGATCTACAAAGAATCACTCAGGAAACTTCAACTCGCCTATTGGAAATCACAACTATAAGAAACCCCTTATTCTTACAGTAATCACTTAGAAAACACAGATTTCAGAGACTAAAATGTAATAATCTCAGTTTTACAAGTTCATTAAGAGAGATGAAAACCCACAAATACAAACCTTAATCGTAAGAGAGAAAAAAGAAACTTTCTCAACCCAGAAGTCAGAAGAATAATCTATGCCATGATTAAAATGATACTATGCGTGTATGTATATCTCTCATCAGTAATGCCAAATCAAGGGCCAAGAATTGCATATGTGTCATCATCTCATTAAAACCATTCCAACTTATAAAAGCGTGATTTAGTAAAACACGACTTTGGCCAAATTTTGGAAGCACATCACAAATCACATGTTCGAGCCTCAACAATCTCCACTTTCCTGCCAGAAATTTCGAACAAAAAGTGCATCCATGAGCAAATATCAACAATTTGATCTTCATTTGTTCCAAAAAAAAAAAAAACATGTTTATACATCACACATATCGATAGATAATAACTTCAAACAATTATGAAATTGGTTTAAAGGTATTATTTTAGTTCCCATGTCTAAAGGATTAAACCCATGTTTGGTTCGGATTAAAATTTAATTTTAATCCAAGTTAAAGTCAAACAATCAATATTAACCACACATTTCAAAAATTTCTATCACAATCTACTAAAAATCAAATTTTAATCTCCATCAAATACCCTCTAAATTGGACAGAAACCTTACTAATTTTCAGAATTCCTTTCGATATAATATCTCTAATAAAATGATATTTAATATCTATGTATTTAGTCCTATCATGAAACATGGGGTTTTTACTCAAATGTATAGCACTTTGGTTATCTGAGTACAGAGTTGCATTTTCATCAACAAAATCAAGTTCACTCAACAATCTACTTAACCAAATTCCCTCTTTTAATAGCATCAAAAGCAGCAATGTATTCTGCTTCAGTTGAAAACAAAGCCACAACCTTTTGCAATTGAGATTTTCAACTTATTGCAGTATCACAAAGAGTAAAGAAATGAGCCGAGGTAGACTTCATATTATCTCTATCTCCAGCAAAATCAGAATCAATAATCCACTTTAAAGTTATCCTCTCTTATTCATTTTAAACAAAAGACCTAAATTTAATGTTCCTTTCAAGCATCTTAAGAGTCATTTTAAAGCATTCCAATGTTCCTCCACAGGTTTAGTCATGAATCTACTAAGTATGCTAATACTAAGAGCAAGATCAGGTCTTGTACATACCATTAGATACATAACAGATCCAATCACATTTGTATATGAAATTTTAGACATTCTAGCAAATTCTTCATCAGTTGTAGAACAGAACTCAGATGAGATTTGAAGAGGCAATCTAACAGGTTTACAGTCAAACATATTGTACTTTTTCAAAAATTTAACCACATAATCACGTTGATGCAAAAATAACATATCTTTTTCTTTATTTCTCATAGTCTGCATGTTAAAGATCTTTTTGGCAAAATCGAGATCTTTCATATCAAATTCAGATTTCAATTTCTGTTTAATATCATCAATTTCAGACCTATTACAACTAACACGTAATATGTCATCAACATAAAGCACCAAATACAAAGACTCTTTACATCATTTACCTTTATAGTAGAGGCAAGTATCATAGCTGTTTCTTTGAAAACCATGTTTTAATACAAATGTATCAAATTTTTTATACTATTACCTTGGGGCTTGTTTTAACCCATAGAGTGATTTCTTTAATAAACAAACTACATTTTCAGAACCCCTTCAATAAAATCAACAGATTGCTTCATATAAATTTTTTCATCTAAATAATCATAGAGAAAAGCAGATTTTACATCTAATTGATCGAGTTTCCATCTAAATTGAACAACAAATGCAAGAATGCATATGATAATAGTATATCTAACAACAGGGGAACAATTTCAGTATAATCAACACCTTCTTTTTGTGTGAAACCTTTAG